CCCCTAGCTGTTGGGACTGGCCAAGGCCAGGGCAGGGCAGTGTGGCAGTAGTGCCAGCGTATTCTTGGTCCTGTCAGAATGAGAAATCCTCCAATAGTTCATGTCCAGGGCCCCGCCAAGCCTCTGAGGTCTTCTTTACTCCAGTAGGTAATGTTCTAACCTACTGTCTCTAACCTCAAGGGCTCCCCTCAAGGCTCTTCCTATGGTCCTCATCTGTAGAGCCTACAGATGCTTAGCCAGGGATCCCTAGCCTGCAAGGAAAGAGGAGCCATGTGCAGAGGGACCACCTAAACATATTTGATAGAGCATGCCTGTTCTGCTTTGTGTTTTCACGAACCTGAACATGTTCCCTTTCTCATTAGCAGGCTGCAGCCCTCAGACTCCCAGAGGACCCACTGCCTTGCCCTGGCCCTGGCAGACATCTTGTGGCGAGCTGGAGGCAGAAAGCAAGCCGTGGTTGCTCTGTAAGTGGTTCTGGGGATCGTAGTATCCCATTTAACCCCCAACTTGTTCTGGCCCAGTTGATGGCTAAGGCTGTCCTAGTCCAGGACAGAGAGTCTGTGTGCTGGGCAGCTGAGCTCTGCTGGTGTCCAAGCCTCAGACTCACGAAGGAGAGTGTGCTCCTGCCTGCCTGACACCCAGGAAGCACAGGAGAAAGCCTGTAACCCAGACGCTCAGTTCCCCTCAGTGTTTCCCTGATGCTGAGGCCACAGGCTGACTCAGCTGTGACATTGTGAATCTGTACCACCATCTAAGACCCCAAGGCATACTTCTGCCTTTGTCACTTGGACCTCATTCCAAGTGAGGATGAGGTAGAGAGGTGAGTGGCAGAGGCTGCAACCTAGGCCCTGGATTCTGTTACCTTGACGGCACCTCCATCCTGCCCTGCCGTCCCTCAGGTAGTCTGCCGGATCTTCAGCCTTGCCCCTCAGGGTGGAAACATCACTTTGCCCAGCTCGGTGGCTAAGCTTTGGTGAAGGATGTGGTCTGGGGACCAGTTTGGTTACTTTAGCATAGTGCTTAAGAAGGAGGGCTCTCTAGGGCAGACTCTCCAAGCTGTTGCTTGTTGGATGTGTAACCTTGGGAATTGACCTCGCCTATCATTTGTTGACTTGTCTAGCAAATGGGGGTGATAATGATGGTGACTTAGTGGTTGTGAGAACTAAATGAGTAAGCATAAATAAATGATACGTATTAAATCTAATAATGTTACCAGTATGAATCATTTATTACTGTAAATAATAATGGTGGATAATAAATGTGATGTGCTTAGGGCAGTATCTATCACATCAGTTGTGGCTAGGGTCGTCAGCTACTGCTACCTGCCTTATGCCAGGCAGCTTATTAACCTTGGCGCCTATCTGTTTGGCAGCTCTAAGGGCAGAGGGTCAAGACTTTATAGAACAAAAGCCCAGAGAGGAAAGGTGGTGTGTCCCAGGCCACATCGAAGCTGGTGACAAGTGGGTCCCGACCCAAATCCTACTCTTAGTCAAAACTGCCCTGGGCTACACTCCCTGTTGTGGCTGGGGGTTGTCTCAGTGGGTGGGGAGGCTCCGAAGAGGATGGCTGGAATCCTGGCCCCGAGGGAAGACAGCGGCAAGGCGGCAGTCCTTCCTCGGCAGATGTATTTGCCAACTGTAAGGGAGAGTCAGGTCTCTTCCTGCCAGACATAGGCGTGGTTTTTCCGAGCTCACCCATCACTCTCTTTTTCCATGCCCTGGACTCGCGGGTAAGTTCATAGCAGGAAAAACGAGAACCCCTTGGCTCTCTTCTCTCTGGAGCTGTCTCTCCTGTCCTCATTTATTTCATGGCACATGTGGTCTTGCTGGCGGGAGGGCGTGCCTGTTCATCTGGTGGAGGACTTACGCACCTTCTTTTCCTTTTTAGGGCTTCAGGAACACCACACTTCAGTCCAACAGGGAAATACAAAGCAGATGGAGTCTTAGAAACAGTACGGCTTTCTGGAAAACTATCGTGCCACCTTTGGCCTTGTTTGGGGACTATCTCCTTTCATATAAGTAAATCCTCCCCCAGCTGGGGCTGGCTGGCCGTCCCTGCAGCCCAGGCCCCCAGAATCCTGCCCTTGGGGGGTGGGGGAGAGGTGGGTGGCTTTGGGGATTGGCTCACTGGCTGGGAGGCCCAGTGTCTCCCTATCACCTCCATGTGCACAGGTGTGGGGGGCCCTCTGTGCCCTCAGGTCCCTGTGTGCCGTGTCCCCTGACTACACTGGCCTCCTGCCCCCCTGTGTCTCCAGTGTCTTTTCTAGGATTCTCATGGATGGGGAGAGGCTTTGGAATGTAGGAAGTGGGGGAGGGCAATTGAAAGCATGGAGCTGCAGTCATAGGCCCAACCTGAGTGCAAGGCTCCGGGAAGAAGTAGGAAAGACATATCACTGAGAACGCAGACACAGTGAAGGCAGTCAAAACTTTATACCCCGTCAGTCACTGACTATTTTTATTTTAGCTGATTTGTTTCCTGTGACTTAGCCATGTGCACATGTGACCCCCGAACCCTCATTCAGGGCCTTGCTTGATTAGATGTGTTCTGGACATGGGTTTTTTTGCTGACCTGCTTGAGAACAGCCTGTTGGGTTTTGGCCTGGCCTAGCATGGTGACACGGAGAAGTGATTCTTTCCCTCCCCTCCTCTTCGTCGTCCCAGCCTCGAAAGATGGGGAGCTGGATCCCTGTGTACCATGACAGGGGAGTACAGGGGACCCTGCACGAGCTCACCCAGCCTTGCTGAACAGTCCAGAATCACTCACAAGACCCTGTTAAAAAAAAAGCACTTTATTTTTTGTAGTAAAGCCAGGGCTACAGGGCCTGACCCGGCACTGGGCACAGCTTCTGGGGACATGTAGCTCACCCTGCGTGTGTTTCTTCACAGCTCTCCCTGTATAGTTTGACCTGCTCTGAGGACCTGGTGACTTTTCTCCAGCAGAGCATTCATCAGGTAGGAGCAGCGCTTTCCTCGGGGGCGCGAGCATTGCTAAGCTTCCGAATGTCTTTATGGAAGAGGGTGGTAGGCGGAGAAGTGCTCTGGTCACCTCTGCCCCGGGGGTGGCAGAGAGACTGGGCAGAAAGTGCTGACAGGGGCTGGAGCAGTACGGCTGTGGGTAGGAGACACAGTTTCCATGACATCCTTGCAGGTTGGTAGTGGTCACGGGGCCCAGGGAGCTGTGGCAACTGGGCTGCATCTGGGCGTAGAAGCCCAGCTGAGGCTTGGCTTTCTAGGGCTTTCCCTCTGCTGAAGTAAGCAGCCGCTCTGGAAGGCTAGACTCTGAATCAGCAGAGAGGGTTCTAGGACAAGCTGGGAGGTGACAAGAAAGCAGCTTCCTCGGCGGGAAGGCTGCAGGGGACCCTGCTTGGCACAGGACCTCGCCAGTGACCCGGGGAGGCGGGCTGAACCATGCAGGACCCCACAGCGCCTGGTTTGCCCCAGTAGACCTGCACTTCACTGCTGGTTCTCAGCTTGGCTCATGGCTATGGCTAGGTGGGACGGGAAACATAGGGGGTCTTGTAATTCCCAGTGGGATAAAGCACTATGGAGTGTGTGGAGGATGGATCGTACATTCGAGGGGCAAAGGACTTGACTTATGGGCATAGTCAGCCTGGCTTTGGATCTTGCTTTTGACTCTGGGTGGCTCCGAGACTTGGGCACCATCCTGAAGCTCTCTGTACCTCAGTTACTTCATCTGTCATGCCTGGATAACAGCTGTGCCTGCCTCACAAATTGTGTAGGAGCCCTAGCTTCATGGCATAGGTATAGGCATATAAAGAAGGAAGTCCTTTCTGAAATGGTCCTGCTCCATGAGAGTCAGGAAAGGCTCAGGGCAGGGGGCGGCGGTGGCGGCGGTGACGGCGGCGGCGGCGGTGGTGGTGGTGGTGGTGAGGTGGGGATGGTGGTGGTGGTGGTGGTGGTGGTGATGAGATGTTGGGGTGGGGGCGGGGCGTTGAGTGGTGAGCCTAGCAGGGAGGTGGGACTCAACCTGAAGCTCCTCCTGTTAGATGCCCTTTCTCAGCACATTTCCCTGAAGGTCCTGAGGGTCTTGGCACAGCCCCAGCAGCATCCTGACCCTGACGGCACCAGATGTTCCCTGGGAAGGAAACAGAGTCCCACTCTAAGAATAACTGAAGACAGGCGTGGTCCAGGGGCACTGGCCCCACCGAAGACCTTTCGTCCTAGAGCTGTCCCTTCCCATTCTGGGGCAGCCCAGGAGAGCTGGGGGCCTGTACAGTTGTCTCGGTTAGGGCAGCTTCCAGCTGGGTCTAGGCAGAGGGGTTGGCATATAGGGAAGGTCCTAAACTAGCTGTCTGTCACTTGCCCCATCCCTGGTTCTCTCTATTTTTTTTTTCTTAGAATAACCCTAAAGGGTGTCTGGCAATGGCTCTGAGAACAATGAGAGAGCTTGGAACAAGGGCTAAGAGACCTCCTGTTACATGTGGCCTTGGCCTTGGGAAAGCCCTGTTTCCTCATCTAGAGATGAGGAAGCTGGAGAAGCTGGAGCAGTTGAATAGCTCCTGGGTCAATGAAGACCCTTGAGCACCTGTGGGAAAATGCTTTCTACACAAAGCGCAGGCGCTCTGAGCAGAACCAGGGCTGCCTGGTGAGTGGAGGTGTCCGAGGGCACAGCAGTGTGCCTAAGGGATGCCAATGGAAGGTTGTCCCCTTAGGCAGATGGAGCATGGAGCTGTTCTAGCCAGAGAAGGAAAGTGACTGAGGACCAACCAGGGGCCGTAATGCAGTCGATGAAAGGCTCTTCGGCCAGGTCACTGCCCCTGCAGTGGTGGCCCTCAGCACTAGGGCCTATGTATCCTCGCCTGCAAGTGGGATCTCGTGCCTCAGCCTGGGGTTTCCATGAAGCCTGTGCATGACAGAAACCAGGGAGGAGTTCAGAGAGAGGGGCCTGCTGTCAGCTGAGGCCCCTCGCTTCCACCTTTGGGCTCTAGCATGTTTCTTTGCTGGCCATGGCTCCTCAGGGCAGCCTGTCTAGTCCATGCTTGGGCCCCATTCCTCTGGAAACAGTGCTTTCCCCCACCGCTTCATTTCTGTTTTTTCTGGAAGCAGTTGAGCTGCCTCAGCACCGAGGACACCAAATCCATTTTTCATGGGCTGTGCTTAAGAGAGCTCCTCGTGCCAGGCTTGGGAATGCATGCCACCACAGCCCAAAATCAACAGCCTCCATGTTGTTTTCATTGCTGTTCACCACTTGAGAGGCGTCTGGTGGCCCCAGGCCAGTGTGGGAGGCTTCTGTCCAGCTGCCCATTGGAATACCTCCGTGGGCTCATGTCTCTCCAGGGCCAGAGCTGTGCTGAGAGAACCGTTCCTTCTTCCCAAGTGGCAGCAGACATTGTTCCCACCTTTAGCCATGGTTTCCGGCCCAGGTTGCCTTTCATGCCATCATGATGCCCCGAGGCCTCCCATGTCTTGGCAGCTTGAATTTGATGAGATAATTTTCATAAATATTTTTTTTTAAAGCAAGAAGGAATATTGGCGCCATTCAGTTGTGTCCTGAGAGGGCAAAAAGGCCAAGTTGGTCTGGGCTCTCTACCCGCTGGGGGAACAAGGCAAGCACTCTCTGAGGAGTCCTAAGGCCTGGGACCATGCCACACTCACAGTAATAGCTTCTCACTGTGCATTGTGAGTTCCGCGTCAGTGACTCGCACGGCCTATCCTCCCTCAGCTATACTGCAGCCCTACAGGGTGACATGCTCCTCAGGCTTGGCTGGGGAGACAGATCCTAACTCTGAGGCTTCCCCTAGACAAAGAGTAACGCCATAGCAGAAGGGGAGACGGAGGTGAGCTTGGTGACTTCCCTAAGGATACTGCAAGGTTGTGTCAAAGCTGCACACAGGATCTGCCGTCCAAGTCCTGTCGAGCTTAGGTCACCTGAGTGGGGACAGCAGCATGACTTTGCAACTGTCCCATCCACAGGAATTGTCTTTGAGAATGTGCACCATAAATAACCCAGGAAATCTGCAAGGCAGGGTCTTAGTCATCTTTGTTTTTCACTGTAGAAGCCACCAAGTACCTGGTTTGAGGTCACGGGATTGAGATGAGGTTGAGCGATATTCATTCATTTTGTTTGTTACCAAAGTCAGAGTTGAGAATGTTTATAAAATGGGTGGTGTTTTCTAGGCTCTCTGGTCCCCTCTGGCCAGCCTCTGGGCCTTTGCACTCGCTTTCCTTGACTGAAGCAGGGGTCACTTCTCTTCTTGCTGTCTCCTGGACTTCTGTTAGACATCACACCTCCAGAAAGCCCTCTCTGAAACTCCTTCTCCACCCAGATTTGTGTGACACCTTCCCGTGTGTTTCCAGAGGAGCTTGTAACCCTGTTCTGAATGAACCGTTCTCCACACTTTCCAAGTTTTTTTCTTTTTTTTTTCTTTTCCTTTTCCTTTCTGAGTTACCCGCACCTAGCAGACACATGCCCACCTGCTTCTTCGGTAGCCCCTTTCGTAGAGACCAGCCTCTTGTATTGTTTACTTTTGAAACGGGTTCTCTCTGCACAGTCCAGGTTGACCGTACAGTCATTTATAGCCCACAGCGGGCCTGAGCTTGCAATACCCTCCACCTTCCAGGGCTGAGATCACAAATGTGCACTGCTGTGCCTCGAGGGACCATGCTCTTGGTACAGGAACTTCACTCATTAGTATGTTTTTATGCTCAGTTAACTGACGAGTTGAGTTACAGGGTGAAAACAAAGACTGTACTTTGAAGGAAAGATAATTTTATTAGAACTTTGAGCTATCATAGTTTCCGAACTGGAATACCATATTTGATTCTGAGTTTCTTGGTAGCCAAGGAAGGAATGAAAATGTACTCAGTTACATCATTCATGTTGAAATAGCCATTTCTCTTTTTAGCTTTAAGTTCAGAAATTATTGTTGACATACAAAGAGTACTATTATAACTGCATCTTCAAACACAGTTCGTCATGCCCAAGTGGGAGGAGTCAAATTTCTTACTGGTTTGGAGCTGGGAGCTATTGATTCTCCATCTCAGTAGACCATTGTCTTAGGTTTCTATTGCTTTGATAAAATGCCGTGACTGATACAATTTGTGGAGGAAAAGGGTTATTTCAGTTTACAACTCTTAGGTCACACTCTATCACTGAGGGAATCAGGGAAGGATCCGAAGGCAGGAACCTGCAGCAGGAACTGAAGCACAGGCCATAGAATGCTTCGTACTGACTTGCTCCCATGGCTTTCTCATCCTGCTTTTTTATTTTGTTTTTAAACATTTTTAATTTTTACTTTTATCCCTCTTATTGAAAATATTCTTTTCTCACATAGCATCCTGGTTCCAGTTTCCCCTCCCTCTACTCCTCCCAGTTCCTCACCACTTTCCCCCTCATCTGGATCCACTCCCTTTCTGTCTCTTATTAGAAAAGAACAGGCTTTTAAGAAATAATAATAATAATAATAATAATAATAATAATAATAATAATACATTATCAATCATCAGTTAATAAAATGCCCTACATACTTGCTATGTATAGGCAATCTGGTGGAGACATTTTCTCAATTGAGCATTTTCTTACCAGATGACTCTAGCTTGTGTCAAGTTGCCAAACACTAAAACAAAACAGTAATAACAACAACGAACAAAACTAACAGCACATCTGTGGTCCCTGGGCTAATGAGTCAGGT